TCATAAATGGAAAATTGTCAAAATTGATGTTTCTATGGAGAGATATGGTCAATGAAGGGGCTTACTCTGCCACCCCTTCAGTCTTCCTTTTCTGACACGTCTATCTATCCTTCCTTTTCTCATATGTCTTAAAAAATAAAATTCCGAATAAATGTTAAGCTGGATAACATTTTCTTGGAAAAAAATCAATGTATTTTCCAAAAGCAATTTTAGAACAGAATGGCATTGACTTAGTTTTCCCAATCAATTTAGTGTCTGAATTAATAGACAATATTTGGATTCTCATATCTGTTTCTGATTCAATCTGTTGTGTCAAATTGTATTAGCTGAAGTCACATCAGGCATCATATGATGATATTTTAGTCAATGAGAGATTGTATACAACCTTTGTATAATTTTAGTTATAAGAGAGCTAAAAAAAAACCCCTTTGCCTTCTGACATCATAGCTCAATGCATTTGTGGTGATCTTGATGTTAAAAAAACAACTGTATTGTTGTTACTTAAAAATATAGCGATAAAATCATATACAGTATGTGATACTTAATACTCAATAAGTGCCTATGCTACTAGTTTATGTGTTTACTATACTATTTTTGTCATTATTTTAGAATGTATCTCTTCCACTTATTACAAAAATGTTAATTTTAAACAGCCTCAAGCAGGTCCTTCAGGAAACAATTCAGAAGAAAGCATTATTATCATAAGGAGATAACAGCTTAATGCAGGTTACTGCCCCTGAAGATCTTCCACTGGTACAAGATGTGTAGGTGAAAAACAGAACATCAGATTATTCTGACCTGTGAAGGCCTAAGCTAATGTGTATGTTTGTTTTTAACAAAAGTTAAATAATAAAAAATTAATTTTAAAAAAGTGGTAGAGAAAGGATATTAGGAAAGATAATATTTTGATATATGATGTGTTCCTATTTAAACTGAATATTATTACAAAAGTGTAAAAATTTAAAAATTTAAGCTCATAGATTAAAAATGTTAATTTGGTTCGGATGTGAGGTATCCCCCAAAAGCTCACATGTGAAACAATGCAAGAAGGTTCAGAGGAGAAATTATTGGGTTGTGAGGGTCTTAATCCAATCAGTGAATTAATCCCCTGATAGGGATTAACTGAATAGTAATTGAAGTGGTAGGGTTTGGCTGGAGGAGGTGGGAATTGGGGTGTGGCTTTGGGGTGAATATTTGTATCTGGCAACTGGAGACCTCTCCCTTTGCTTTCTGATTGACATGTGAGCTGCTTCCCTCTGACACACTCTACTGCCATAATGTCCTTCCTCACGTCAAGCCCTAAGGAATGGAGCCAGCCTTCTATGGACTAAGACCTCTGAGACCATGAGCCCTCAAATAAACCTTTCCTCCTCTACAATTGTTCTGGTCAGATCTTTTAGTCACAGCAGAAAAAAAACTGATTAAAATACTAAGGTAAATTTATTATAGAAGACAAAAAATTGTTTGTGGTGCAAGAGATTGAACCCAGGCCCACATGCATGCTAGCCAAGCATTCTACCACTGAACTATACCCCTAGCCCCCAAAAACTGTTTTATAAATTTAGTGTAGCCTAAATGTACAGTTTATAAAGTCTACAGTGGTGTATAGTGGTATCCTAAGCCTTCACATTCATTCACTGCTCGCTCACTGACTCACCCACAGTAACTTCTAACCCTAATAAATGCACCACTCCTGATAAATGCGCTGTAAGTAACACAATTTTTTTTATCAATATGCTATAGTTTTACTAAATAGTTTCTATGTTTATTGTGTTATGATTTCCTACAGCATTCAGTACAGTAGCATGCAGTACAGGTTTATAGCCTAGGAGCCATAGGCAATCACACATATTTTTGTTGATTAGTAGACTATACAATCTAGGTTTATATAAGTACACTCTATGCTGTTTAAACAATGACAAAATCACCTAAGGATACATTTTTCACCTAATGTCCCTATCATTAGGTGACACATGTCTGTATGTAAGAAAATCTAGCCTCACATACATATATAATAGGAAAAGGAAGAATTAATTCAATAGCTTTCAGATAATCATCGATATCTTTCTTTATTATAATATATCAAAGTTCCACAAGTGACAACTTCTTAAATATTTGTTGTAATGCAGAATCTATGATAATCTCATACTCGGTCATATGAAATCTACTGGTCAATCTTAAATTTTGAATATACCTTGTGCCCAGGAATGATTTTGTAGTTGTAGATGGACAGAATGCCTTTATTTTATTTGTTTTTGTTTTTTTTAATTTGGTGCTGAGGATCAAACCCAGTGTCTTACATGAATGAGGCAAGCACTCTACCACTGAGCTATAGCCCCAGCTCAGAAATGATTTTTAACTTGATACTTTGATCATTTGTGAACATTTATTCTCTGCATTATCCTGATGTTCTAAGTATTGACAGCTTACCTCATACAATATTGAAACAATGCATTTTTATAGACCACCACTAATCCCATCATATCTCTCTCTTGGTGTTGGGAATCTGTCAAGGTCAGAGTGGTAGATATAATTTTTTATATTATATATTAATATATAATATAAAAATATTATATATTTTATATATTATTATTATATATTTTATATTTCTAATTTTCTTAAAAGCTTAAATTTTATTATTGGCAGCAAAGACTGTCTTATTATTTCCCTTGGATTGATAGTCTCATTTTGTACATTTTTTAAAATGTGTCAAATATCCAAGTATGAATATGCAGGTGGATGATCAGTCTTACCTTGTAAACTTGATGTCATATGAAAAAAGTTTAGTTCAAAACTACATTTCTACAGTTCTGTTCCTAAAGACAGCCACTGTATCTCATTATGCTTTAGAAGCACCTTACATGCCCTTCACATTGCATCACAGAGTATTACCATGATATATGTTCAAAATTTAAGAAACAATTATAAAATTAATCATTGTTAGTGATTCTTCAAGAATATTATTAAGTAAAGCTGATATTTGGGGGATTTTTTTTTCCTATCAGCACAGTAGTGGGGAAAATTACATTGTTGGAGGCCACAGCTTGATTTGTACTAAGGTATCAGCAAGTAAAACTATGTTTGTATAACCAGTTCAAGTGTTGGTACACTATAAAAAGCAAAAATCATCTTAGAATTATTCTCAAAATAGTTCTGAACTCACAGATATCCTTAAAGTATCTCAGGGACAACCCTGCATTCAAAAATTTACTTTAAGAAGAACAACTTTAACCAAATTTTCTTCCTAGGTAAACTCAATGTGTTCACAAGAATGTTTTTCAGAAGACCTCTGAAAATTTTTTATTATTTATTTTTTTGGATAGATACACTTCTAACATAGGAACAGATAGGAAGGATTTGGGAAGAACTAAAAAGAAAAAATAGTTTTTAGAGACTCCAGACACTTAATCACAATTTTTCCATTAGTGGAGAGAGCACTGGTACAATATTACTTCCAAACCAGAAAGTACAGAACCTGTCTTCGGCAGATTGTAGTCCACCTTGAAGTCAAAAACTCCCATTAGCCCATTAAATACCTAGGAATAATCTCACTGAGATTATGATCCTGGAGAATGAGTCTTACTCATTAAAAGAATTACATAAATCATTAAGTATATTGAAAACTTCAGGAACACCAATATGTACTTTCATATTTTTTTAACCATTAATTTGGTTCCTTTACCACTTCAGTTATTCAAAGAGAAGGGTTTCCAAGCAATAAAATACTGTTTCCCTCACAAAAACTCTACCCTATATTACTTCAATTTATATAGTATTTCAATTTCATTTAGAGTATAGGATCTAAATTTTCTCTTGAAATAATATCTTTAGGGTTTTGACTTATAAAGAAAGAAGAAACATTATGTTCTGAATAAAACCACTATCAGAGCATCTATCACATTGAATAATACTTATTTATTACTTGCTGCATTCTGAAATCCTTGAGCCAAGAGACCAAATATTCTTTTCTATTTAGTTCTCTAATGCCATTTCAATATTTAGCAAATAGAAACATTTCAGTTAATGCTTAATGAACTGAATTTTAATTTTAAACATTTCAATTAATGCTTAATGAACTGAAGTATCTTATCTTAGATTCTGAGCCAAGGCTGATACGTTAAAATAAATCTGCTCAAAAAGAATCTAGTCACCATCAAGAAAAAAGATGTGCTTCATGAAAATCCTAGAAAATGCTTTAATTTATTAAGTGAAACACAAAAGCTGAATGGAACTCTTACTGCCTGTGCTAAATCTGCGTTGACAATGCACAACATATTTCCCATCAAATGATATTATAGTTAGCAGAAAAATACACCCCAATTATGAAATTTTCTATTCATTCCCTTTATTACTTTTTGTTTGATTTTACAACATAACAAGCATAATAAAGAAGTTTCTAGATAAATGTCGCACCCTAATTTATAGCTCTTTAGAGCAACAATAAAGATGAGTACATATTTCCTTAAATACATTTGTTTGTAAATAAGATCATTTTTAGGAGCATAGATAGATTTATTCCTTGATACATGACTTACCAAAATGAATATTTTGTTTTCATGACCATTTCTTAAGGCTGGACTTACATACTAAAAAATTATTGTATTTTATAGTATTGTATTTCATTATTATACAAAAGAAAAACTGAAAAGCATTTCAAGCCTGGTAAAATCATGTGCGGCAGAAGTAAAAATGGACATCAAAAATAACAGACAAATATTTCCATATTTTTAAAATTTTGTCTTACAACAAACACCAAAAAAGGCATTTTTATTATTATTTCTTCTTGCATCCATAAAAAGCCAAAAACTTCTCTGGATAACATTATTCAAAGGAGGTAATTCTGATTCAATTTTTATTCCTATTTCACATTTGACTCAGTATGTAACTATTGGTAGATTAAGAAGAGAAGTTATGTTATAAGAGGAAAACAGCAAACAATGCATAAGTCTATTAATTGTAACCAATAAACAAAATCCTTAGGGAATTCTGAAATAACTTACCTGTTCAGTAATACTAGTGTTATCAGACCCCACTGGGGCTTGGCGAGTTGTGTGGCCATGGAAAACAGACTTCACTGAATTGAAAAAACTGGACTTTCCAGAACCAACTGGACCCAGGAGGAGAATACGAATTTTTGAAACCAAGTCTGCATGGGGCTTGTAGATTCTGAGGTCTGCTAGGAGCTTATTTTTGTGCCTATTAAAATGTAGTAGTTAAAAACAACAGCCAAACTTCATAAAGAACAACTTCTCTTTTCTTCCCTTTCTAAGGATTGTTTTAGTTGCTTACTTATTATTTGATAGTAGTACCTTCTATAGAATGATATTAAATATCTATGATTAGGTATTTTGTGATTAAAAAAATGCATTTATCTCTAACACACTCATTAACCAGAAATCAAACTCTTATTACACTATTAGCCTGAGACCACAAAAATTTAATGAGAAATAGCAAAAACACTGAAGGTGGGTTATTATTTTCAGTAAAATATATCCTATTAAGAATAAATTAAAATAAAATATATGTAATGTAGCATCTATAAAAATTGAAGAAATAGGGCTTAGTTTTTAATATTAACTAAGGTTCCCCCAAAACTCTTCTCATAAGGAGAGGATTCAAAAGAATTACCTAAAGTGATTATCCAGATTTTACTTGGAAAACCCTGAATCTAATAGGTGCAGAGTGAAACATGAAGTCAAATTGGTCAATTGTCATCAAGTGGATTTTAGAAGTTTCAAAGTTGGTAATGATTTTGTTATTGATGTTCTAAACTACCTTGAATATTTTATGTCAATAACAATTTTTGTTTGTCATTTGAAGTGATAGAATTTTACATTCTTACTATTTCATTATCAGTTTATACAATTATTCTAAATAAAATAAGCCATAGATTAATTAAGAACATAACATACTGTGTGGCTGTCATCATCTTCTTTATGCAGCCTAGATCATTCTTAATTCCTATGGGAAATAAGCAAAGAATATGCTTTTAAATTGAACGTTCTTATGTGAACAAGTCTGCTTCCTAAGTAGGACACTTAATCTGCTTGTGTAGCTCTTAAGTTTTTCAGTTAGGAATTAGGCATTACAGCATAATGAGAAGAGAAGCAAAAGTAATCCTCTCTGCATGTTGAATCTCTCTGAAAACTCTTCCATAACTATGCCTAAGGTCCTAAGGCTGATCTTTAGGTCAGGTCGTATGTCAAAACACACCTGCTCTAATAGTCATTTCTCTCTCTCTCTCTCTCTCTCCCCCCCTTTCTCTCTCTCTCTCTTCCACCTCCATCTACATTTCTGTCTTTATCTCTGTCTCCACATATATACTTCTTAACTTTTCAAAACAATCTGTACTCTTTGAATAATAAACTCAAAATCTTTTTGTCTCCCAAGTTTCCTTTAGGAGTTTATCAAAGTATATCATCTGTCATAAAATCAGATTATTTCTCTCATTGTTCCTTAGTCTTGTAGATCAATTATAATCTATGGGGAAAAGAAAGACTAGAACCAGAATATAGGATGTAGAGTTATCTAATATAACATACCTTCAACTCGGAAAACTTCACATTCCAAGTACTGAATGTCAGTGGAAAATTTTGTCACTGAAAAACCAGGTTTTCTGAATACACGATTCTTTGGATATATCCAGAAACTAAGCTTATCAGATGAGTAAAATTCCAGGTAATCACTCGTAACTTTCAGTAGATTCAAAAATAAAGTTGACATTACAGTTAAACTATCCTTTTGAAAGATAAAAAAGATAGAAGCACATTGTTTTTCAGAATCGTCAACTATTTTAGGAATATGATCAAGTGTTAAAGCACCAACAATACTTTTTTGAAGGTAAAGCATTGTTATAGTGGGTCCCTGTTGACTGCACCTCTGAACCATCTTTTGAATGCTACAGCCATGAGCACTCTCCTTATAAAGAAGACTCAAAGAAGCATTTCCAAGTAGAATCTGTAAACACTTTTCTTCAAGCCAGGTCAATCTGGGTGTCACTGCCATTGTCCTGTATCTAAAGGGGAAAAAAAATCATATATGTTGAGAGGCCAGCATAGCACAGCACAGCAAAGATTTCTGTTTTAGTTGCTGTTGAGTTTTTTTTCTCTGACCCAATTAAAACACACTATTAATACCATAAGCAAAAATCATACAGAGTATAATAGATTGATGTAAAAATAACTTAGAAATGAAATATATTAACATTTTAACATCAGTTGATGAGTAAACTGAAAACTGGATAAATAATTTAAAAAATAGTCAATTAGAATAGAGGTCTACAAACTTCTTTGTTTATTTCTTCTTTTTAGATATACTTGACAGTGGAATAGATTTGACATACTATACATACATGGAGTATAACTTCCTGTCCTTGTGATTCTATATCATGTGGAGTTACTCTGGTCGTGTATTCATATATGAACACAGGAAAGTTATGTCTGATTCATTCTACTGTCTTTTCTATTCCTATCTGCCCTTCCTTCCCCTTTGTCTAATCCAATGAATTTCTATTCTTCCCCCATATCGTGTGTGAGCATCCGCACATCAGAGGGAACATTTTCTTTTACTTAGCATGATAATCTTCTGTTCCATCCATTTACTGACAAATGCCATAATTTTATTCCTCTTTATGGAATAAAATCCCTCTTTATTCCATTGTGTATATATACCGTGTTTTCTTTATCCACCTGTTGAAGGGCACCTAGGTTGATTCCACAGCTTAGCTAGTGTGAATTGAATTGCTACAAACATCGATGTGGCCACATGACTAGAGTACGCTAATTTTAAGTTCTTTGGATCTAGGCAGAGGAGTGGGATAACTGGGTCAAATAAACATATTTTGATGGGGCTGGGATTGTAGCTCAGTAGTAAAGACTTGCCTGGCACATGTGAGACACTGGACTCAATCCTCAGCACCACATAAAAATGAATAAATAAAAATAAAGGTATTGTGTCCATCTACAACTAAAAATATTTTTAAAAAATGTTTTGATGCCATGAAGTTGGCAGTAATGCCTTAAATGTTTGCATTTTTTCATCTCCAAGGGCCTCTTCCATCCTTGTCAGTGGGAATGCTAACCTTATCTCCTTTCATACAACACTACAAACTTCTTCTTAATAAACTAGGTAGCAAATATTTTAGGCTTTATGAGTCATATAGTCTTGGCACTACTCAAAATTGCCATTGTACAATAGAAGCAATCACAATTTGTGCTAAAATTTGGATGTGATTTGTCTCAAGGTTTATGTACTGGAAGTTTCATCCTCAGTGTGGTGATGTTGGCAAATGGAACCTTCAAGAGGTGGGGCCTAGTGAGATATTGATAGGTCAGTTGGGAGCATGTCCTCATAAAAGAACGACCTTGGCTAGTTCTAATGAAAGGGTTATTATAAGAGCCTGAGCTGGCCCCATTCAGTTCTTTTGACTTCCTGTTAGCAATGTGTTTTTTTTTCTTCACACATATGCTCTCACAATGTTCAGTCCATGTGAGGTGGATGTGATGCAGCCAAGAAGTCCCTCACCAGAGCCAAGTCAATGCCAGCATCATACACTTAAACTTCTAGAAGAGTGAGCTAAATTAGCCACCTTTCTTTATAAAGTTAACCTGTCTCTAGCATTTTATTATAGTAACAAAAACGGATTAATACAATTTTTTTTTAAAAAATGATCATGTTCCAATAAAATTTTCACTACAAAAACAGATGGCTAGTCAGGTGTGGTGGTGCACACCATAATCTCAGTGGCTCAGGAGACTGAGGCAGGAGGGTTGCAAGTAACTTAGCCTCAGTAACTTAGTGAGACCCTATACTCTCAAAATGAAAAAGGGGCTGAGAATGTGACTCAGTAGTTAAGTACCTCTCAATTCAATTCCTGATATTAAAAAAAAAAAAAGATAAACACATGCCAAAGTTTATCAACCCATGAATTAGAAGATAAAACTGAAGAATTTATACAGAAAATAGCTCACAAATAAAAAATAAAATATGGAAATAGTTAACAAATATAGAAGTCCCACAGTAGCATACTAAACTATTAACAGTCATTTAAATGAAAAAAAAAGGTAGAAAAAGGATAAACTGTAAAAATGCCTGTATTCAAAAGAATTAGAGAGCTCACAAGAGAGGGAGGAATTATGTGACAGGCTAAGACTTGGGAAAGTTAATAGAGGTAAGATGGGCATTTGAGAGAACATTTTCCTGAGGTGTGGCTGTTAACTTTAGAAAAGTCACTTGAGAAATTAAGCAAAGCTTCTGCTAGACTTATAAGCTAAGAGAGGGGAAAAAAAACTTCTTTGGTGTGCAGCAAGGAGGGTGTCTTAGAAACCTTTCACAGCCCAGGTTGTGGATTAGAATTCTGAAGAGCCCTAAGGAAGATGTAAGGGTGTACTAGAAACATACAGATTTGATCATTCAGCAATCTCAGTCCTTGTTTGGATTAAGGTGAACAAGAATTTAGACTGTCAATAATTTTTGTTGCAAAATCAAAATGAATTTTACCTGGATGAAGAGAACATGTTTCTATCTTTACATTATTTCTATATTTTTCAAAACTCAATGCCTCACACTTGATCATAAACAAATTGAGAAACAGAGAACATAGTAGAAAATCAAGAGAAAAAAAATGAACAATAAAAACAAACCCAGACTGATAATAGAGTTAACCACAAAGATTTAAAAACTACTAGAGTTGGGTAAAATAGAAGCATCCTTCCCATTCATCTGTGGTAAGAAGAGTCAAGGCTGAAAAAATTAAAGTAGAAACTATATTCCAAGGAGAGGAAGAAAAGGAAGAGCTCTGGGAATTAAGAAAGAGGTGATAGGAAAAAGAAGCACATAGAAGCAGAATGACAATTCAGAGAAAAGTACAAAATTGTCCACAACTCTGACTCCAGGGGAAAAGGAACCCAATGCTTTAATCACAAGATTCTCTTTGTGGTGTTGTCGTTACCATGGTTTCTTTTATTTGAGTAGTACTGGGAATTGAGCCCTCCAGAGAATTCTGCTCATTAAGAAGACCCTTACTTAAAAGTAGAAGAGATATTCATTCCAACAGATGTGCAAATCTTAGTAGAGAGACACAAGAAATATGAAAAACAAAACAACATGACTTCTCCAAAGGTTCATAACTCTTCAGTAACTGAACCCAAAGACATTCAAAGTGAATAAAATTCCAAAGAATTCAAAAGATTGATTTCTAATATGATTTCAAAGAGGATACATATAAACAGCTGAATGAATTTAAGGCACATAATACAGGATATAAAAGATCATTTCAACAAAAAGAGGTAGAGATTCTAAAACAGAACCAAAAAGAAATCTTGGAAATGGAAAACTCAATAAGCCAAACAAAAACTCCAGTGAAATTTCAAAAATAGACTAGATGAAGTGGAAGAAAGAATAGCAGGTATTTTGGACAAGATCAATGAATTATCACATTCTGACAGTAATAAAGAAAAAAAATTATGAACAGAACATACAAGATTTATGGGACAATTAAGAGACCAAACCTATGAATAATCAGGTTAGAGAAAGGGCCTGAGGTATAGGCCAAAGGCAAAGAAAACATAATCAGTGAACTCATAAAAAAATTTCCCAAATCTTGGAGAAGATATAGACATCCAGGTACAGGAGGCATTTAGAAACCCAAAATAGAGATAGCCAGAAAAGTATCTCCTCATGTATTAGTCAAACTAACAAAGTATAGAACAAAGAAAGAATATTGAAAGTTACAAAAGAGAAACACTAAGTTGCTCATAAAGGTAAACAATCTTCTTACAATAAAGTCTAAAGAACAAAAAAGTATGTAATAATGTTTCTCAAGCCATGAAAATTAAAAAAAAAACTGCTAGATTACTATCTATAGTAAATTTGTTTTTCAGAATCAAAGGTGAAACAAAAGACTCCAAGGAAATGCAGAAACCAAAGGAATTTGTGAGCAATAAGCCAGTATTGCAGAAGATACTTAAAAAGAATCCTATACACAGAAGACAAAGCAAGACAAACACAATTGTGAGAGCACAGGAAAGAATAAATCTTACTAGAAGAGTATATGAACAAATGAGAATTAAGATGGATTCCAGCATGAATAATTCAGTAAAACATTAAACCTTTAAGATGATCAAGGGAAAAGGAAACTAACATAGATCATTCAAAACAATCAGGAAAAAAAAGAAGACAAAAACAATATTTATCTTTACTTTTCAATAATATCCCTATATGTAAATAATCTGAATTCTTACCTAAAAGATGCAGACTGACTGATTGGATCTAAAAAACAAGAATCCAACTGTTTGCTGTCTGCAAGAAACTCACCTCAGCAAAGAATAAAGAGATTGAAAGTAAAATGATGAAGAACTATATGCCAATCAAATGGAATCCAAAATCAAGCAGAAGTAGCAGTATTCATATCAGAAAAATATAAATTTCAAATAAAAATTGGTCAGAAAAGACAAAGAAAGTGAATACAACCTATACTGATAAAGGGAAGAACCTATCAAGAAGATATAATGATTGCAAATATATAGGCACCAAACTCCAGAGTACCCAATTTTACAAAATAAATGCCACAGAACATCAAGGCATAGACAGGCCCGGCAACACAAAGATAGTGGTGACTCAGTACTCCATTTTCACAAATAGATAGATCTTCCAGACCGCCTCCCCCCTTGCCCCAAAAAAAAGTCAACAAAGAAATTTCAAAATAAATTATACTATAGATGAAATGGACTTAATAGTCATCTATAAAGAATATTTGGTTCAATGGCTGAAGAATACACATCCTTTTCATCAGCACACAAAACTTCTTCCAAAATACGTTTCATTTTAGGCAATAAGGCAAACATTAACAAATATAAAAAAAAAATTTGAAATAATTTCTTAAATTTTTCAAACCATAATGGAATAAAACCAAAAATGCATAGCAAGAGAAGATGAATAAAAGACACAAACACATAAATATTGAACAATACACTTTTGAATGACCAGTAAGTCAACTGAAAAAATCAGAGGGTATTGAAGAATTCCCAAAATAAAATGAAAATGGGAACACACCCTACCAGGACCTATTGGACACAGCAAAAGCAGTTATAACACGGAAGTTTACAGATGTAAGTCCTACATTATATAAAGAGAGAAATCTCAAATAAATAACATAAAATGCATCTTAAAATCTAACAAAAGCAAGAACAAAACAAATTTAAAAATCAGCAGAATGAAGGAAATAATGAAGAGCAGAGCAGAAATGAATGAAACAGATTAAAGCAACAGTGCAAAAGATCAACAAAACAAAGAGTTGGTTCTTCAAAAATATAAACACTCTTAGCTAAACTTAGAGAGAGAGAGAGAGAGAGAGAGAGAGAGAGAGAGAGAAAAGATCAAAAAAATAAATAAATAAAATTTGAGGTAAAAGGGGAACACAACAACAAATACCACTGAAATCCTGAGAAACATTAAGGAATACTTTGAAAATTTACATGACAACATATTGGAAAATCCAGAAGAAACAGAAAAATTTCTAGACATATATGTCTAGAATTAAACCAACAGGATATAAATAACTTAAATAGACCAGTAACAAGTAATGAGGTTGAAACAGTAATAAAAAGCTCCCAAAGAAAAGCCAAGGACCAGTGTGGATTCACTGCTGATTTTGACCAGACATTTAAAGAACTAATAATCAAATCTCCTCAAAGTATCCCATAAAATAGAAAGAGAGGAAAATTTTCCAAACTCATTCTATGAAGTCAGTATTATCTGTTACCAAAATATGATAAGAACATAATAATAAGATAATGCTAGAAACTAATGTCTTATTTGCAAAAATCCTCAAAAAATACTTGCAAATTAAATTCAAAATCATATTAAAAAGTATAGCATGATTAAGTTGGTTTCATTTAAGGGATTCAAGTGGGGTTCAACAGACACAAATCAATAGAGGAGAATAAATAATAAAAACAAAATGGTCATCTCAAAAAAAGCAGAAAAAACAGACCTTCAATAAAATCCGAATCCCTTTAGGGGTTTTTATCCTTTAGGATAAAAATCCTGAAAAAACTAGAAGGATCATACCTCAACATAATAAAGGCAATACATGAAAAACCAA